CCAGTGTTTGTTGTATTATTCCCATTTTATCATCTAATTTCTGTATGTCATTTTTAACTTCATTTTTCATTTCACTTATCTATTTTCATTTCATTCATATCCGTTTTCAATTCACTGTGGTTTTTAGCTACTGCCTCTTGAAGCTTGGTCATAGTTTCTTGGATGGTTAGCAATGCTGCCTGCACATTTTCGATATTTTTCTGGAATCTGGTTTTTCCATTGTAGCCATTCCTTCTGTTGACCTTTGGGATGCTGGAGAAGCAGTCAATACCTTTGTTGCTGGATTTACAGTTGTCTTTTTCCTGGCTTTCAGTGATGTTGTTGAGATATTCATCATCTCTTTTAAAATTTTATCTTGTTCTTTTAGTATATGTTGTCCCAAATTAGCATCCGATATCTTGACTGGTTTTTTTGTTTCAACTTATCTTTTTTTCTATCAATATTCTCGAGTTACAATTGAGAACAGCATTTTGGGGGCTAAGCAAGCTGATTTGAGTCACGCCCCATTTTATGTCTTTTTTTATTATGCAGCCATTTAGCAGATCCAGCTTTCCTCACTGACTTTGTCAAAAGCCAGCTGGGAAGATCACAAATAGTAACCACATGATCTTGAGACACTGCAACCATTGTAAATATGTGCCAGCTGTCAAGTGCCTGAATTTTGATCACAACTGTTGGGATGCTACAAGTGTGAGAACCCATCATAAATGTGAGAACCAGTCATATGTCATTTTTTTCACCACCATTGTTACTTCGAACAGTCACTAAACAAATGATTGTAAATCAAGGATTACCTGAACATCAAGTCTTACCACTCCTTAATCTCCAAAAAAATATTTGGAGCGGAGACAAAAACGTATTCAGTGAATCATATGAAACAAATTTCCAGCCACTTTGTTGGATTAAAAGTTTTAAGGATGGTCTAATCAAGGATTTGGCTCTTTTTTGTGTGTGGGGGGCACCACATTTGCAAAAGCTGAATAGTTAATTAATATGTTAATAGGTAACTGTAAGCTTTATTGTGGGTAAGTTTAATTCTATTTATACTGTAGAATAAAAGCTTAGTATAATTCTGTAAAAAGAAGCTCCTTTTCAATCAGTGAAGCATATATGCCAGGATTATGACTATATTCCATTAAATATATCATATGAAATAAGAATACAATCTAATTTGCATTGCAGGTAATAGAAGAACAGACTTTGATTCTTTACATTTTTAAATGGCTGAGTTTATTTAAGAATAACACATTACAAAATAAAATTAGATTATGCAGAAAAAACATAAAAAAAGGGGGACCAGAGACTGGTATAAAAAACACAGAGACATCAAAAAAGGTACAAACTTGTCTAGGAAGAGCACAAATTGGGGAAGGGTAATGGGAAATTTGTACAAAACTATTGTTTCCACATATAGAATATATAAAATGTTCCCTGTTTGATGGCAGAAACACAAGAGGATATTTACTTTAGATTTTTTTTTAAAGATACATCAAGAGGTATGGAACTTAAATCCAAGTTCTTGGGCCTGAATCCTCTCTTTCTGCATTCCACTTCAGTTGGTTAATGGCAGAAACAGAGACCAATCCAGCTGCTATATAACATTTCCATTTAAATATGGATTCCACACTGAAACAAATGCAAAATTGGCTGTACAATAAATTGTTGGTGGTGGATTGACGATCATCTTCAGTATGACCTGAAATGGCAGTATTCTCTCATATTGGACAAAAGACAATGATTCTGTCAATTATAAACAAGTGTCATTGGTCCTGTGAAAAACCTGCCTCTTGAGAGATAAAGCCAATGCTAGCAGAATCTCTTACTGGTTTCATGCAAAAGCTGGACAGATTCAGTATCAGTTTTCCCTTATCTAGTGCCCAAGTACAACATACTTGTCTCAACTTCCACTAACTGGATCAGAGGGGGCTGATGGAACTTGCAATTCATTGCAAAAATAGGATTGGGGGTGGGGAGGGAGAAACTCTCTTTAGGACATTCTTCAACTCATCATTAATTGCTGTTAACAATAAAAACAGGAGGGAGGAGCATATGAGTAAAAAAGCAACTTTTCCATTCAGCTTTTTAAAAACAGAAAAAAAGCTGCAAACTTCATGTATGTATGTATGTATGTATGTTAGTTTTTGTATGTATATATATATATATATATACATATACACTTGTTCATTGGCAGTCACTGGGAAAGGCATATAAATATATATATATATATTTATAGTATAAAAACTGTTTACCAATAATTAAAGTTTTAAAGCAAGTTATATTGTACCTTAATTCTACAAAGAACTGAAAGACAAACATATATTTAATCCTGTCAAGTGAACATCCACTGACATTACAGCTGCTTAGTTTGTTATAAATCCTATTTTTATTGAGAATGTAATGCACCAACTCTTCAAAATTTTAGTTCTTTGTGAAACTAAGCTCCAGATCGCATTGCAACAATGTGGCTAAGAAAAAAAATGCTGGCTTTCAAGGGGGGGGGGGAATAATCCCAGTCATCTGTGATGTAGGCCACAAAGGTGTCGGATTTTTGTTTCTTGGGTTAAAACTCACCACAGCAGGCTTGGGGAGGGGGCAGTGAAGAATAAGGACTTTCGGTGCAGAATGCCTCTGCCCACAAATCCTTGCCTGGCTTTAGGATAAATGGCTATTCCTGAATATCAGAGGATAACTCATAATCCTCATAATCACTCAATAATCAGACGATGACTCATTTTCTGTGACAAGATAAACACTGAATGTCAAAATAAAGCATTGTTAATTTTCTACTGGGCAGCCTTACTGTAGAATTAAAAAGGTTACCTGCCATGGTGGATAACAGAGCAAGTGGTCACTTTTCATGTGCTGGTGTCTATTCGCTTTCCATTCTCTAAGAATTCCATTTCTCTTTAATAGTGTAAGAATAAAAGGGAATCTAAGTTGCTACAACTGCTGTGGAAAACACCCATGTTATTAACAGCAGATTATAAGAAGCAGAAAAACACATAAACATGCAAACACATCTGGAAAATCTAGGCCAAATAGATTCCCCGACACACATCCCTGCATGTTTTACATCTGATAATTAGCTGCAGCAAAAGTAATGTGGAGAATCCACAATTACTTAGTACTATGCACAGAGTCTTCTCCAGATCGTGACAGATCCAAGAAAAGATTGCAAGTGCTTCCCTGCACCAAGGCCTTACAGCTGATCACTGGGACATCTTAAGTCCTTTGCAGAATCTGGTCATTTTTTTACAAAAAGAGGAGCAGAAATCTCCTTGAAGATAAAAAGCTGTATTTCTCCAAGTTTCAAATGTCCCTTGTAGAAAATAGGGTTTCAAAATACAAAAGAAAGTGTGTGCTTTAAAAAGGCTGCATGGACACACTGGTCCAAGAAATAGATGTGGTTTTCTTTTTAAAAACACCAAGTGTAATGCGGAGAGTCTTGTCAGTGGAGAAACCCATGCAGTCCACTTGGAGGTGGCCAAGAAGAGGAAACCTGGGGTTTTCAGTCTCTGAAGAGTCTTACTTGGCATGAAATCACAGCAGCTTACGATGGAGGATCTCCCAGACCATTCGTTTCCGGAAGTAAGGCATGTGTTGCTTTAACAATAAGAAATCAGCAATATCAATATATTTGTGACATTACCAGGGCATTCATTTTTAATGCATACTGACATATTTCGGCTCCTTCCTTGTTTAAACACAAAACCAAAATTAATCCAGCCAGCACTATTTCATTTTAAAAAAATCATTTTTGAATTTGTATTTGCAAACTGTAGCCTCAAATTCCCACAACCAATGTTCCCCATAGAAACAAAGAGGTGCCCATACAGGACCAACTTACTTGAGTAAAGTTGATTGGTTTGTCTTTGGTAATGCAGTCAGCATATTTGCAGGCAAACATCCCACAATCACTGCCATTCATTTGTTGTGGGATCTCCTTTAAAAGACAAATAAACCAATCTCCCTTTATTTTCTTGATGAGAACTTCATAGTGGCTTTATCCAATACTATTGTTATAAAGTGCACACAACAGATGAAGTTTCAAGCTCTCAATGAAAGAGTATAGTTCAAAATACTGCTATTAAAGGACTATTTTAATACAGATAGAGACAAGGGCACCAAAAGCAAAGCTTCAACTTGGTAAATAAGGCAAAAGATAGCAATAGCAATAGCAGACTAATATACCGCTTCACAGTGCTTTAAAGCTCTCTCTAAGCAGTTTACAGAATCAGTATATTGCCCCCAACAATCTGGATCCTCATTTTACTAATCTTGGAAGGATGGAAGGCTAAGTCAACCTTAAGCCAGTCAGGATCAAACTCCTGGCTGTGAACAAACTTAGCCTGCAATACTGCACCAACACGGCTCTTTTACAATAGGTTGCACAATTAGCTCCAATCGCAACCGAGCTCCAGTTCAAATAATTAGTTGGCTGCAGAAGATGCTAAAGATATCTATGGCTGTGTCCTATTCCCACGTGTCATATATTTTTCATTCCAATCCCCTTCTTTGTTTAACTTATTGCCACTTTGTCTGGCTTTTTCAGTTACAGGGGAGAGCAACAAGGGCCCGAAAAAGAAGAAAAAAAGAGAAAAAAAGAAGCCCCATGAGAAGTAAAGTACAGCTGGAAAGCAAATGAAAATATTAAATGATTTTTTTAATAGCAGAGAAAGTAGAATGTTAAGAGTTTTTGTAATAGTCGGCTATATATTGCAGTGGTTAAGTGATGAAAAAGAGTTACAAGCATTCAGATTCCAGTTGATCAGAAGCCTTCAAAATTGGCTCCAAATTTGGAATATGAATACGAAATGATGCTCTCACAAAATGGCTGCCACTGGGGATACGATCATTCAGATTTCTAGCTCATCTTGGGGAAACTAAGCAGAAACAATAATATAAACCAAAGTATACTTCAAGCCTAAGAAACAGTAAAGGCAGGAGAAAGAAGTTCAGATTAACTCCCTAATTTATTAGAATATTAAAAGGGAGAGAGAGAAAACTCAGTGAGACTTTCAAGATTCTTTTACTATAATCTGTAACAATAAATTATATTTCCAATCAGACTTGTGGAGTTTTGTTTCCTGACTTGGCCTTCCTGAAAGTGCTGATAATATCTATATGCCTGTTAATATTATTATTATTTTCAGATGCATGTATTATTAAATATCTGAATCTGCTACAGTCAGGACTGAAAAGGGACGGTTTTCCACCGCTGACTTTTTAAACCAGGGAAATATATACAAGCTATGATTAATAATTCAAACAACTCAGAGTCTTACACAATCAGCTATACATACCTGGCTTCTTTTACACAGGAGCATCCAGCCATTGGTATCAAATTCCTTGCGTTTTTTATCTAGGCTTTCCTGTTTTAAGTATTGCCTGCAGAGATTGGAAAACAAACACAAACATTTTAGCACACAAAACATATGAGAGGCTTTTAATGAAGGTTGCATTTTAAGAATTTTACTTAGCAAAAATATTCAGTTACATCAGGGTGGTCATAGCTGTTAACAGGTCAATAAATCCCTTTTACCAAAATGGTGAACGAGATGAGTGTTTGACCTCTTGCTTCCCTCAGCAGAGAACGTCATCCTGTTCTTGTATTCCTAGACAGAAAAGCCCTTGCCAATTGAGTGTCACCAGGAAAGTTAGCCTTTGTCCTATAACTTTATGCATACTGTGGTTCCAATAATTTTAACTGCTCTAACTCTGAATCTCAAGTCAAAAGAGAACTGTTATTATACAGGTGGCAAGGTTTCAAGACAAAATTAAAAAAATTAATGAGGAAAATGCAAAAAAACATGAAGTGAGATTCCTTTTCTAAACACCCAAAACAGCTCCAGTGCTTGTTTTTTACCCAGTAAATATATTTTCAAACCACACATACTCTGTGACTCAGAAGAAATGCTTTCTGCATGTCCCTTGTATATTACTCAATAAATAGTTCCCACACCACAGCTTCACTGTTTAAAGAAATCCTCAGACTGTATCAAACTACATTAATTCCCAAAGTTAATGCAATTCCTAAAGACACAATACCCATTTTGAAGCTAGCTTTAATGAACAGCAAAAATCTTAATGTTGTTTGAGTCATTGCTAAACAATCAGAGTCCAAATGTACTTGCACTACTATATACACAATTCAGGATTTTCCTGTCTTGGTGAAGGATGAACAATTTACTATTTATTTCAATCACTTTGGAAATTTCTATTACTATTGGGCTTTTTTTTAAATTACAAAAGTTCTATTTTATCTTTGCTTTCAAGTACTATTTATTGCACCTGGTTTGAGGTAACTACATTTTTTTAACTTCAAGCAATGATTTATAAGGTTCAGTTTCATTCTCTGTCTGACATAGATTTGGATTAAACTGCAACTAATGAGATAAATATCACAGCATAGCAGACAGATATCCTAAATGTTAAAACAAAACATAGTTGAACTTTCTAGGGAGATTGCTATGAGCACCTATCATGTTAATGATTCCTTATTGACCACCACAGAAAGAAATGTCTAACTTCCCAGCATATGGCAACATTCTGGTTACTCAGTTAGCTATGAAGAATTAAGTTAAAAGTAATACTACAATACATTTTCTTCACCCAAGTATCTCTTGTTGGCTTGTTAAGTTCAATTTCATTATGATTTCTTATGTTAGTTGACAGACCAGCTTTTTTCAAAGATATGTTACCTAGTCATTGTGATAGCTCAATCTCTTAAACAGAGATGCAGTATCTAAGGCCCTCAAACTTATGTTTGCAGGTCTCAAAACAACCTCACTTCATGCTACTATGTCACTTTTTAAATGCAAGGTCCAAAAAACATTCAAATACTCCGACTCCACCCAAAAATATTGAAAAGAAAATTGAAAAAAAATTCCCAGCACTCACTAACATCACTACTTCCTGCAGGACAGAAAGATTTTAAAAAGATAAAAAGTGAAACTCCTTAGTTCTTACATTTCTAAATAGTCAGGAGTAATAAAAGTGAGAGGCATTTTTTCAATTAAATGACTATTCAAATAAATATTTTTTTTGGGGGGGGAAAGAGAGAATGGATTTAAACAAATGTTCGCGATATTTTTGGGTTTTAACCAATATTAAATTCCAGCACTTAGTTCTCCAATTGGTTGCTAACAACTCTTAGATTTAAAAAATAAATAAAAACAAATAATGGTATACTTAAGAACTCAATCTGAGCTCAGCTACTGTTGGCTTCACAGTAGTTTTCTTAGTAAAAATGCAAAAGTTTGACATTGCCTTCTTCTGATATTTTTTTCATTTACTAATCATAACAAACAATCCAGGAATTTGTTAGTAATCTTCTATTCAAATATTAAGTAAGTTTAAACCTGCCTAGCTTCCAAACTCAAATAAGATGGATCAGGATGCTGTTTTCTGCCAATAAACAATGACTATGTAAGAATATCTAATTTGTCTTGAAATATGATCAAAACATACATTGGAACCACTTACAAAAAAGTGGGCATGTTCTGATGGATGCAAAGGACATGAGCACTATACAGGTGTTCAAGGTATTGTGTATGTATCAAAGCATTTCAGGTATTTTCTTCAACCTTACATTTTAAACTCTCTCAAACACCTTAGTATCTTTTGAAGCCTTCATTTTTCACTACTTCTGAAGCAATAAGTAATGGTACTTTAAGGCAAACCACTCCCTTTATGAGACTTTCCACCCCCATTCTCACAATCTAAAACATATTTGGAAAACAGCCCATCTAAGACCCAAGTGACACAACTAGCAAGGGTGGAAATATATGAATCAACTAAAATCATAATCCTTCCATCACTTCATCAGCTATTCATCATCAATTTTGTAGAGCAAGAAGAAAGCTAAGCTATCCTGCTTTCTAAAACCCTTAATCGTAGTATGATACTTAGGCTGAATTAGATTAATATGTTTTCCTTAACTGGTTTTTCAAACAGGATTTACAACTTATAGAATTAAACCACAGATCTATAACACCATAAATCTCTTCCCTTTCTAAAAAGGGGCAGACAAATCATTCAAAACTCACCAAAAATCAGGAAGCTCTAAAGATTGAAAGCATGAAAGGGTCACTAACCATGAATAGGACCTCTGTCCCCTGTTCCCGGTGTGATCCTCCCACTGCATTCAACCAATTAAAGCCTCCTGAAAGGAAATAGAAAGGGAAAAACAGTTATGGAAAGGGTAACGATCAGCTAAAAGCTGAGTTCCCATTGCATTATTCTAGATGTCCACTAGTCATCTAGAAAAAACTGAAATGTTCCCATTCTTACTACCAGTAAGATTAAACTAACAGAAGAGCTGTAACCACAACATTCTCAGGGCAACATCAAATTATTTAACAACCAAAAAGCTTAATCCAATATATATTTCTAAATACACAATTGAGCCAATTATCTTTCACTTAACCTTAATTTTTTACTATTGCCTGCTTCTAATTCCAGACAAGAACTAGCAATGTAGTTTGCCATGGCAATACTTATATTGGTGATTTCTTCTGAGTTTACTGTGATAAATATGCTGTAAATCAGGAAAAATCCTCAATGTATATATTATTTACTTTAGACAAAGTCAGTTCCAAAACAATACACAAATCAACTACTGCCATCTTTCCAATTGGAAAGGTGCACACCATAAACTTATTGGCACTGCTGAGAAGTCTGTAAGATGAAGCCCACACATCCAGAAGTTGCCAAGATTGACTAACACTGCTTTACAATGAGTTCTCAGTTGAGAGATGCTCAACTATCTCCTAAGTGAAAAATGTATTTTTCTAGGAAAACAAGGACTACATACTGACCTACTGACAAAGCAATCTTTAGTATAAGAGAGAGGAAGAATTACAAATTCTGAAGTTTTTTCTTTTTTCAAAAAACTCCCTATGGAGTATTTTTTTTTTTTTTAACCACCAACCACAATGAGAATTTCACTAAGCTGAGTAGTTTCTGGGCTTTAACTTTGGTAATAACAATAGACAGGGATATTACAGGGATGTGAAACTCACCTCATCACAACATCGTCACGTAACATATTGGGACTTCCCCACCCCCTTTGCTAAACTGGGTGTGGGCGTGGCCAGCATGTGACACATCCGACACATGGGCCAGGAGTTTGACAGCCCTGCCATATTAGCTTGCAGATCCCACTGCCTGCCCTGACATAATGCTGACATACCCATATTGGTTCCACAGGCACAGCAATTGTGGTAGAATTTGCTACTAACTACTGGAACAAGAAGTCCCATCTCCAGTTTACTCTGGTCAACTGTAAAAATATGTGCCTGCATTGTGAAGCTGGTAGGACATATTTATATGTTTATGCTTGCTTTTTTAAGCTCCTTCATACAGCTGGAAGAGTAGAAATGGATTAAAGGAATAAAGGTGGATGGTCTCCAAATTTTCTATACTGTAGATTTATCCACCGTTGAGAAAACACTTTTCCCTGAAAATTAATGCAAATAAATAGATTTCTAAGAATGCACTGGTATACAAGTGTAGTCATTAACGTCTATTACATTCAGTATACTAAGAAAATCAAAAAATATTTGGTTAAATTCCAGCAAGGCGCTAACCCTAGCAAAGCTTTTATGTCATTTTGATTTATGCAATCTGCAAACTTATGTTAATTGCTATGTTTCTTTATTTTCGTAACTAATTTTATTTTACAGTATTCCTGCAGAAGTATACTCTTCGGGTTTCCACCCATTGCTTCTTGTTCTACCCTCAGGTGCCTTGGAAAATAGTTTGACTCCCTCTTCTTTGTGGCAACCCCTGAGATATTGGAAAACTGCTATCATGTCTCCCTTAGTCCTACTTTTCATTAAATTAGGCATACCCAGTTCCTGAAACTGTTCTTCATATGTTTTAGTCTCCAGTCCCCTAACCATCTTTGTTGCTCTTCTCTG